CTCTAAACACCTCACCCCCTTCCTCACCATGCCATTTCACTTTTATTACCTTGTTAATTGTATTTTTTCATTCGTATTCAATGATAGTATTGATTACAGTGGTTTATCAGAATGTGGCCAGGTTCTGTCAGCAGTCATCCCCTTGTTACTTAAACACAGCCAGGATAAGGAGCTGGTGCTCAGAGAAGTTACATTAGAGGTTAGTCTATCCCTACTAGGATCAGCATAGCTGTCATTTGCTACTAATTTGTCTTGGAATCAATCCTCACAACCTCTTATGTTTGGTATATTTGCCTGTTTGTTCACTCTCTTGTGCTTCAAGCTTTCCAGTTTCCACCCTTAATTACTACAACTAGAGAGAACTAGTAAAGTGCAAATGCAGCCTAATACTGCTGTAAATTGATGGAGACCATTCTCCCTGTAGTTTAAATAGTTCAGGTCTACCCCAATAGCTGAGATAGCTCACACAGGTGGTTAGAGCACTGCACCGGTATCTTAAAGATTTAGGGTTCAAATCCTGTTCTTAGCCTGATTTTGTAATCCAGGCTCCTATTATTTAAGCAGTATTAAGCTGCATTTGCAATTCTCTCTATCATGCTGCTGAAAGAATACTTCTCAAGAACTACAATTAGAGCCTGACTCTCCAATTGTTCCATATTCATTATTTTGATGCAATTGTCCAATGCTAGTATATGATGCAATAGTATCAGAAAACGATTTTCCTTATGAATAAGTTTAGGCAAGAGAAAATGAACTAAGAGAAGGAATCCCCGTGCCCCATCATGTGCACACTTTGATGCTATTTTTACAATCATTGATGCTATTTTTACAATCATTGATGCTATTTTTAACTCGTTACCATGCCTGCACGGTAATCATGCTTCCCTTTAATGCCTCGTTTGAGGACACGAAAAGCGCCATATTTCACTACGTCCACGACAAAAACACAGGCTTTTTTTACTGCAAGACTGGAAGCCGCCTACCCTCAAGAAATCAACCAATCAGGTTCTTAGCTCAAAATATCTCCAAGCTAAAAATAGCATCAAACTATGCACACGATGGTTACGAGGCTATATAGGTAGGATTCCTTCTCTTAGTTCATATTCTCTTGGTTTAGGTGAATGCTCATCATTCCTCTCAATGCATATAAGACTGCCCTCCACCAAGGACGTTCTCCATGGTGCAAGTACTAGAATATACCCTCTTCAGACCCTACCAAAACCTCTGGAATCTCTGAGGGGTAGTGTTTGGAAATACATGAAAATTAAGTTACAAAACAATAGTCCACAGCAGGCATAAAAGCTATTTCAATAGCCCACTTCCAAGATATGCTTCGATTGTCACGCACAAAGGTTTCAGTATGAGGCTACATGCTAAATTAAATTTATTCTTACCGCCTGTCACGAATGACTGAGCATTTAGCACATAGCCTCATACTGAAACCTTTGTGTGTGACAAGCGAAGCATATCTTGGAAGTGGGCTATTGAAATAGCTTTTATGCCTGCTGTAGACCCTTTCCGCTTGGGTGTAATGTTTTCCCATTTCAGGCAATGCAGGCATAAGGCAATTCTTTATTTGAGTTGTATCCATATTGTGTTTTCTCATGCACAACTGTTAAACAAACAAATGATCTCTAGTGAATGACACATGGTGTGAAATGGGAAAACATTACGCCCAAGCTAAAAAGGTCTACTGAACTTATCCCCCCCCCCTTCCAAATGTTTTTACAGTGTACTAGTTACATGTGCCAAGCCGTGGATCAGCTACCTGATGAGAAGGTAGATGAGTTCTATGATGGTCTTACRACAAATCACATCAAGACCATTGATTCAATAATCAACACACTAGTGCTGGATCAGCCTGCACTACAGAAACTTAAAGGTAACAGGGATTGTGTTACAGTTAGGACACTCGAACAGCAAAGAAGTTTTTTGTCACTTTTTTAGATGCATACTGTAGATCATCCCTTGAGCCAATCAATTGATTGGAAATAACATTTATTTTGATCACTTGGTGTATTTGAACTCAATGCTTTATTTTAGAGGGTTTGAAGCAGTAGAAAGTTCAGGAAATAATAACCTGGAAAAAAACTGTTAATCAGTCGAGTGTCCTCACTGTAACACAAAAATCGTACATTTTTACACAAAATAGAATTGTGGCGTGTCCCAGGCTCACTTGATTTGTGTCGACTAGGGCTTCCTAACATTGGCACCTATGACAGAATACTTGAGACCCCAATTTGTGCCAGGCTCTCTGGATTTGTGTTGACAAGGGCTTCCTAACATTGGCACCTATGACACAATGCTTGAGACCCCAATTTGTGCCAGGCTCTCTTGATTTGTGCTGACAAGGGCTTCCTAACATTAATTTGCACCTATGACACAATGCTTGAGACTCCAATGTGTGCCAAGCTCACTTGACTTATGTTGACAAGAGCTTTCTAAATATTGACACCCACTACACAATGCCTTAGACCCCAATTTGAGAAGTTTAGATAAATATGACAAGGACTTGAACTCAGACTTTTTTGTCTATACAGCCTATTAGGTGAATGTGGTCATGTACAGAGGTCTGTATGATATGATACGTGCTACCATTTTATCTCCGAAGGTTCATCTGGTGATGTGCATTCCATCAAAGCAAGAGCCAAACAACTCCAGTATATATCAAGAGCAACACTTTCCTCACTTGTGACCTCAAAACAAATCCACAAACCCATCCCAAACTCAAAGACAAACCTCACATCTGTAATAGCCAAGAAATTCCTCCAAAAATCTCACGAAAAACACCTTGAGACTCTCCTGCAGTATGCAAGCAGCAAGCACCCAGTACTTTCTGCTATTAGCACACTAAGTCAATTGTGTGGAGTTTCTAAAGAGCTGGGAATTTATGTCAGCAAACAAGCCAAGGTTGTGGAAGCTTTGGTGGGGTATATAAAGGATGGTGAAAGGGTGATGGAGTCTAAAGGTGGAGAAACATTGTATGCAGTGATGAAACTGGTATATTGTATGATAAATGCACAAGAGGATGTATCAGCAGAGTAAGTAGATTGTGTAGGATTGAGTAAACGTTTGTATATTAGAAAATAAACAACTATAGCATGTCAGCAGAGTAAAGTCATTGGCTGAATGAATGAATGAATGAACGAACGAATAGGTGGGAATGACTAAGCGATTTAATAAATAGATAATGAATGAATGTCTGTATGTATGAATGAATGAATGAATGGATGAATGGATGGATGAATGAATGAATGGATGGATGGATGGATGAATGAATGGATGAATGTATGAATGAATGAATAAATGAACGAATGAATGTATGAATGAATGAACGAATGAATGAATGAAAAATTGTAATATATAGTGAAGGAAGTCATTTCAGTGAAGTTAGTTTATTAAATGAATGAATGAAAAAACGAACTAACAAATGAATGATTAAATAACTGAACGAAATTCGATGAAAGCCTGGCCACCTTTGATTTGAAAGGTTATTGTATTCATGTCATACTAGACCCCTGAAAAAGATTAATATAGGTTAATATATTAATATAAGTTTTTGTTTGAAGGTTATCAGATGTATCCCAGCACTTGGCTTCACTGTTTATCAATGCAGAGGAGTTTTTAATRCAGATTTCATCAGCCATGCTTCTTGCACAACTGTGGGATTCTAACTGCTTTAGTAACAAGGCAGACACGATTAACAAGGCATTAGATGCTATACGAAGGACACTTTATATACAAGACAAGCAGGTATTGTGATATCCATACATGATACATGATTAACAAGGCATTAGATGCTATACGAAGGACACTTTATATACAAGACAAGCAGGTATTGTGATATCCATACATGATACAGACATGATTAACAAGGCATTAGATGCAATACGAAGAACACTTTATATACAAGAAAAGCAGGTATTGTGATATGCATACATGATACAGGCATGATTAACAAGGCGTTGGATGCTATACGAAGTACACTTTATATACAAGACAAGCAGGTATTGTGATATCCATACATGATACATGATTAACAAGGCATTAGATGCTATGCAAAAGACACTTTATATTTAAATGTATTTACAACGAATTTTATGCACTTTTCTATTTCTATTTTATTCGATCCTTCTTATCATCCAGTATTTGTTCATTCTTTTATCTACTGTTTTTTTACCATCAGATTTCTCCCTGTACCTTATTCGATGGTCCATCAGGCATCCTGGACGGGGTCATGTCTGTTCTTACCTTACTACTAAGAGAGGTACAGTATAAGTGTCCATATTGTCTAGTGAACCTGGAAGGGTTCATGGGGTGTGGGCACGAAGCCTCTTCCTGTACCTTGATTTCCTCAAAACCGCGTGAAAATTGTGAGAATGTTAATTTTCCATTTCTGAAGGAACCCCCCATACTTAAAATTCTAGATAAGTGACCCGTTTTCAGGATGGTTAAAGATATTGAAGCCAAGTAGRGGGCTGTGAAGATAAGTGACCCGTTTTCAGGATGGTAAGGATATTGAAGCCAAGAAGAGGAATGTGAAGAGTTGTTAATGAAATGGCTGCTCTCTCACTTAATACCAATTACTCAGCAATTTCTAAAAAAATAACATTTCTTATAAAAAACTGCCCATCGCATCAGTTTAGTTATTGCAAAAGTCTACGCCCAGGCAAGAGGTCAATAGCCATCCCCCCCCCCCCCCCCCCCCCCCCCCCCCAATGAAACATTTATTTCTGGATCCTCTGGGCATTCTGGACATTCTTGCATGACCCCTCCCCAGGCAGGGTGTCTGACCATATTTTAAGGGACGTTCCTCTCTTCTCTAATTATTGATTTTTTTGTTCAGCACGAGATGTCACTGCCTCTGACATCAGCCCAGATGGTTGAACACAGTCTTTGGCATACCATGTGGGATGATATGGTAGTAGTACTGGATCTCAGAGAAGGCGCACATGAAGGTCATGATGTCATCGGTACCGTTCAATGGCATATCCTGTCGTTCTCTGGCATGATAGAAGTCCTGTATTTTACCGACCAGTTGTTTGGAAAAGTAAGTGAAAACTGCGCTGATCTGCAAGTATATTACACTTGAGAAAGAGGTAGGGTTCGATCCTCAGGCATCTCGCCTCCTACCACTGAAGTCACGTGGTTCGATCCTCATACCCACTATCACGTTGCCTTTTGGTTCTCTCGAGGGTTTTTCTCCAGGTTTCCCAGTTTTCCTCCTTCCGCCAACAAATATCTTTTCCCTTCCAATCCGCGATTATAGTGGTCAACAGATGGTTTGATAGCCACAGGGTATGAAGTGATGCCCTCGTAAAAAAGTTAGCTTCTACTCTTCGTGGAACTTCAGTTTACGCCGAGAGAGTTTCACGAGGCGAGCATATTTGATCTTACTCAGCTTCGCCCGTGAAACAAAAATACAAAAAAATTACTAACGAATGACTAAGAAAATATAAGGAAAAGCATATGGTGACCGCGACAGCTCACATTAATCAATGCTGGCGGTGTAATTTGTTGTGAATTGTCATCGTGATTCCCTACTATTCTGCAAACAAATTTCAAATAATCGTTTCCCCTCGTAACGTGGCATCTTTTCTCATATTAGTCTTCACACATACATGGAGTAGCCGTACTAACGAAACTGTTTCACCATTTCTCTACAGGCTCCTATTGAATGTACTGTCAAACTTACCAGTGCGCACTCTATATTTGCTTCTGTCTTGACTCGTTTACTTACGCTGGAGTTCGTCAGTCAACTAAAACAACAGTAAGTAGACGCACATAGGCGTAAATAAGGTGTTTATGATACATGGACAGTACCCTCAAATGTTCATTGAAATAGTTTCCCTAGGGTAGGAAGATTGACGGTGAATCATTGTGATTAGTTGGTTCTGGTTTTGGGTGTCTTCCCATTTCAAAAAACCAGCTATTTGACATAGCTAGGAAAGGAAACGAAATATCAAGGTGTTGACGAGCCCACCCAGTATCTGCTAGTCATTCTTACTTGTTTTTGGTTCATTCGTATTCACAGCGTAGGTGAGGTAATATGCAGCTCATCTGAAGAGACAACTGTTGCTGTTTCTGCTTTTATACTCCAGGTATTGAACTATTCCATCAGATGTGCACATATACACATGCAAGGCCTGTGTACAACAAGTGGATGAAACACTTCCCTTAGTGTATCCAATATTTTTTACTAATAGACCCCTCGCTTCAATTCATAGAGCAGTTCAATAGGCCCTTTGCAGCTCAGTAATCACGTGCTGATTAATTCACTAAGAGCAAATGAATGAACATTTTGATTCCCACGGGTGAAATTTACTGGAGAGCAAACAAACTTTCTACAACCTGTTTCGAGAGATCGTAATAAAACTGCATTTCGTAATACACTGGTTACACATGTTTTCATTCAGTTCTTTACAAGTAGCTAAAAAGAATCAACTTAAAATGAAATAAGAAAAATTGCTCACCAGTACAGACACGTGACCGTTAACTGCAAAGGGCCTATTTGGAGGATAAACCAATAGAATTTTACGCTCTTGAGAATTTCAATTCATTGTTCTGTCTTCCAAATTGAACTGATTTGGGAATCGATGCAAGGGTCTATTGAATAGGAAAGCCGTCCCACATATTACTCAACTCGGGCACGTGCCCCATCACCCACATTACTGCATCCAGCTCTAGTTTTCTGGATTGCAATATCTTCTCTGACTCGCGTTGTACTCATCAATTCGCCCGATAAAAAGGTAGCATCGTATTTGTTTCAACTATACTAGAGAGTCTAGTCTCGTTAGAGATTACCTTCCCCTCCACCCCCTCCCCCCAAAAAATAATCCGTCACCTTTGCGAGGGAAGAAGATAATGAGTAAAGAAGACAGGTTTCCAGACAACCAGACAACAACATTTATAGACCCCTTGCACTGAGTCCCGAGAGGAATTGTTCTGGGAGACAAAACAATAGGCCGTCTTTTCTTATGAAAAAAAATTCCATTGTTTTGTCCCCCAGAACAATTCCTCTCGGCACTCAGTGCAAGGGGTCTATAGCTGTCATGGAGCATACAAGATATAGTGTGTAGTATGTTGATAATCCTGTATTTATCTAGGTGGTTCGTATATTCTACCTCCCGTTTGCTGTTGATCTTGACGATGCATTACTACATGACACTCAAAGGTATTTACCCTACTTGTGGATGTTACCTGCCAGTGTATTTTACCGTCTATTAAGAATGCATAAGCTTAATCAAGCTAGCACCACTGAGCTATTTCAAAACCAGGGCGTAAGGAGTGGTGGGGCCAAGGGGGCCTGCCCCACACCCCCTTCGTGGCAACAAAATGGCGGCTTTTTAGAGCTTACTATGTGGCGAACTTTGCCTCGTATGATCCTTATTTGTATTTGGTTGTATTTTGAAGTGTCTTGTACAAGCACCGGTTTCTTCCTAACCTTATGGATATATGTTGTAACTTTCTACCCGAAGATGCACTAGAGCTTCCTATTGGTAGGTATTTTGCTTTACATATACTTGGTGACTCTACCTTGGCTCCTCATCAGATGGCCCTTTGTGCACTCAACTTTCCCTTTAGAATAAGATTTTTCGTTTGATTGTTTCCATATTCATGTGTGTTATCATGCGCAACCATCAAACAAAGAAATCTAGGGTATGACACGTGATTTGAAATGAAACAACTTTATGCCCAAGATAAAGAGGTCTATTTTTTACCTTTTTCTGATCTTTGACCTTTTTAAAATAAGCTTCAGTTATTAGTTTGAGTGTCATCATTTATTATTGTAACCTTCCTCAAGAAAAGATTAAAGAAATGATACTCAATGAAATGACACATGGTCTTGAATGGGAGGACAAGTGGTTTATGAATATGAAAATTTCAATGCTAGAAAAAAAACACATTTTGAATGATCCAAAATACGAACGAACGATGTTGCTCACAAACGACAATAAAACACACTTTGAGCAGTTATCGTAGAATGATAAGTYATACACCGTAGTGAAAATAGTAACTGACGTTTCGGACGTTAGTCCTTCGTCGGAGTCMATRGAAAGTAAGAGTAAGAGAGATGTTTATATAGTAGAGGAGAGAGAAAACAAACCAATAAGAAAAAAGCAAGCCATAAAACAAAGGAAAACAAAAGGATCGAAAGCAACAATAGGTGGGAAATAACTTAATTATAAGCGAAGCGTTCRTTCATCCCGTGGGGATTAACGGTGCCAAGTGAATGAATTAAGCGCATTTCTTTTGTTTTACGATGATTGTTGCTGCAGTGGGTTAAACACAGACCAAAAACAATAGCATTAAGCTCAGAGTGATTAGTAGAGTTAAAGTGCCTAGCAACTGGTTTAGATAAATCTTTCTTGCGAATGGTAAGTGGTATCATTCTACGATAACTGTTTCATTAGAAATACCGACGCAGTCCACGCTAGTGTTTACTAGCCATCATCTACACTTTGAGCAGAACGTCTGCGTGCAAAATTGACTGTCTTCTAATATATTTAGATTTACCAAATGTTTTTTGGTTGTCTCTTACAGGACTCATCTCTAGACTCGTGTTGAGTGACGAAATGTTTGTGTCTCAATTCGTCCATCACGTGACCAATGAAAAGGTATGTCTGTCACGCATGATTTTTATCAATGTCAAATTAATGCTGGTTTGCAACATTAAATTTGTTAATTTTATCTTAATCTCTTGCATTCAGTTGGAGCTGTTCTTTACATCTCTCATGGTGGCAGAGTCGTTTCTTACGTTAACAAATGACGTCATTGCCATCTTAAGTCACGTGGCCCGTTGTTCATCTGAATACGTTGACTTAGTTATTTCAATATTGGCGGGAGAAGAAGGCAAGTGCTTGCGCACGGTTTGCGTTGTAAGATTTGAAGAAATAATTGTTATCAGTCAAACTCTGACGAGGAGTTGCGGGAAAGTACCTCAGAATAATAAAGCGTTAGTCGCTATGACGTAAGCTATTGTCATTACTATGCCAACCAGAGATCGATTCGCTGAAGAAACGAAGCAACGTGACAAGAACTTTTGCTATAATGATTGGCAAATTTACATCACAATGCTGATGTTTGTAAACACCAACTAGCGCTATAATGTATTTAGTTAATGAGTCAGTTTGGGTGTAATAGTTTCCCATCATTACCTTGGATATTATTTCGTTCGTTCTTGATAATGGTCGAGAAGAAATATGTCACTTCCGAGGGATTAACACTAGGTCTGAATTTGGAAAACATTACGCCCAAGTTAAGTCGGTGTATTGAGTTCTGTCTTATTCAAAATAACCTCAATCATTGTACCTGGAAGAGCGTACATGCAGAAGTCTTTAGATTCTTAAAAGGGGCAATATAATACCACTGGTAGATTATCAAGAGGGGTCTAGACATTCCACAAGTCGACTTCAATCAGCTTGTGTTTTAGTCCAGGGCTGGACCCACTTTAATCTGTGCGCGCGCGGAGAAGAAGAACCGAGTAGTAGCGGAAAGATACTATGTACTTATTGACTGAGTGGGAGGGCCGTACGGGAAAATATTTGGCTCGAGGTGATGCCGTACGGACCGAGCTCAGCGAGGCCCGTACAAATGACCGAGAGCCAAATATTTTCCCGTACGGCCCGACCTAACTCAGTCAATAAGCATTTTATCATATGACCCTCACGAAAAAAATCAATAAAAAAATAAAAGAAAGAAAGAAATAGTAAATAAAAGCTAAAAAAGAGAAAGCGCGCGGATTCGAGCAGGGCCGGACGGGTTTTTCCGGCCCGCTTACGTCAACCCGTCCGGCCCCCATCACGTGACTTTTTCCAATGGTTTTATTAGAGCGCGCGAGCAGGGCCGTACGGGTCATATGATAATAGTAAGAATGTACTTCGTGCTCGCGCGCGGTTTTCCTTTTATTCTTGAGATATAGATTATTCAGTTAGTGAGAAAAGTGGGTCTAGTTCTGGACTGCTTGTCTTCTGCCGAAGTCCTTATTTGAGCGAATCGAGATTTTCCTAGCCTCCTTTGCAGACGTTGTTAGGGTCGTCACGCAACGCTTCTCTCCCYACCAACGTAAGATTTTCCTGAACACAGCCGAAGTGACAACGAACAACGGTAGACTTCGTAAAAGTCTAAGAGGCTGGGGGTTTCCTATCAATAACTTGTGTTGGTATTCTCTTTGTAGGTTCTTATGAAACATTGTACCACATTCTCATGCATAGTGAGGTGAACATCAGTGCAAGCGCCTGCAACATGTTAGGAAACATACTCAAACACACCGCTGTCTTTTATCCTGTTCTACAAAGGTATTGAAACAATACTCCAGTTTCGAGTTCTCTTTGCTCAGCCTTAGCCTCAGTCGTACGTTAAAATATCCAACCATTCGACYAAAACCGTGGCATTTTAATCAACACGTATTGTTCCGTAGTACGTACATTCCTTACTATACAATGGACCTTGATAAAAGAAAAGAACACATTTGTACACAATCGAGGCTAAGACTGAGCAAAGCACCACTACCACTACCACTATTACTACCACCACTACCATTATCTGATCACTACTATCACCACCACTACCATTACTACCACTATCACTACTACCACCACTACCACTATCACCACCACTACCACTATCACCTGACCGCGACCACTACTACTACTACTACCACCACTATCACCACGTCTACTATCTCTTCCCTACTACTTCTTGTACCATTACCACTTCTACAACCATCTTTACTGCCTTTACTGCTACCACTACTACTAGTACCACATAATACTACTACTACTACTTCTTTGAGAAGCTTAAACAATTCACTGCTTGCTTTTTATGAAATTTCTTCTTTTATTTCATTTGTAATATATAGAAGTGAGGTGTTGTCTATTCTGTTTGGTTTATTGAAAGCTGACAATTCAAACATTCGAAAGGTGAGTGTGAATATCATGTACAGACCAGGATATTGACGCGTGGCCTGTCTTATGGACGGGGTTGGATATCGATAACCTTTAAAATACTACTTTGTATTTGATTGATAGGCTGCTAGTTTTGCTGTAGGTAATGCTGCATATCACAGTGACACATTATACACTTTTCTTGTTCCTGTTATTCCTCTACTGGTGGACTTGCTGTCTGATGCTTTACCTAAAACTAGATGTAACGCGGCAGGTAAACGATACTGAGATACTCTTGTTATTATTGTTATTGTTGTAGCTTTAGCTGTTCGGTTGTTGTTGCATTCTGATGATGTTGTTGCTACGTGCTGCAGATGTAGCTGCTACTGTGGCTGCTGATGTAGCTGCTACTGTGGCTGCTGATGTAGCTGCTACTGTGGATGCTGATGTAGCTGCTTCTATTGCTGCTGATGTAGCTGCTACTGTGGCTGCTGATGTAGCTGCTACTGTGGCTGCAGACGTAGCTGCTACTGTGGCTGCTGATGTAGTTGCTACGTGCTGCAGATGTAGCTGCTACTGTGGCTGCTGATGTAGCTGCTGATGTAGCTGCTACTGTGGTTGCTGATGTAGTTGCTACGTGCTGCAGATGTAGCTGCTACTGTGGCTGCTGATGTAGCTGCTACTGTGGCTGCTGATGTAGCTGCTACTGTGG